TAAAATCCTAATCTAAGTTTCTACCTTAAGAAAGAAAGAAACAACAAATTAAACCCAAAGTAAGGAGAAGGAAACTATAAAGATAAGAGCGGACATCAATAAATATAAAATGGAGACATTCGAGGGAAACAATGACGGAAACAAAATTCAATTCCTAATAAAAATCAAAATATAGTTCATTGGTAATCGCTTAGCTAGATGGTCATGAAGAAAAGACAGAAGATGCAAATTAGGTGTATTAGGAATAAAAAGGGATGATGCCACGGATCCTGCAGACATTAAAATAAGAGGAAATGTTACGAATAACTTCGTCAATGAATTTGGCAACCAAAAATGAAAAGATTTCTTGAAAGTCACAAATTACCAAAACGGATCTAAGAAAAATAGAGAAAAACAAAATAGTCCTTAATTAAGAAATTATCTTTGCAGAAGTCTGAATTGAATCTCAAGAGACTGTGAATAGCGAAAACACTCTTGAAAAAGAAAGAATACAGTTGGATGCCTCACGGTATCTGGCGCTTTCTATAGCCAAAGCTGGAATAATTTGAGCAGCAAATTGTGTTGGATTCTAACTCAAGTATAAAGTAGATACTCACGAGTCCAAACTGATTCAGATACGTCATTGAGCAAGTAAATAAATGAGGGAGAACAGACAAATCTGTGCTGGAGAACTCTAGGTGACCATGTAGGTTCTCTGTCCTCAGGGAGAGGGAGCCTCTCAGTTCCCTGAGTACAGGCTGCACGTTGAGTGTCCTTTCCCAAGAGTGCAGAACACAGAGGGTTAAAGAGCAACTTCAGAGCGTCACGGCAGACATGCCTTCAGCCAGGTGGTCAGCATCAATGGTGACATATCGTGTTGAGGTACGTGCCTTTGACGTGATGTGACGAAAGAGTCCCATCTCTCTGCAGTTTTCCTCCCCCATGTCCAGGCTCCCAGTCTAATCAGGGAAAAAACAGCAGAGGATTTGCAAGAGAGGGACAGCCTACAAAATCGGCCCAATAACTTTCAAAACTATCAAGACCATCAAATAACAAGGAACACCTGAAAAAGAGCCACAGCCCAGAGGACCTAAGGAGACAAGTCAACTGAAAGTAATGTGGTTTTCTATTTGGGAACCTGGAACAGAAAAAGGACATTAGGTAACAACTAAAGAAATCTGAATGAATATGACATTTTAGTTAATAATGGTGGGTCAGCACCATAGTAATTAATTATTACAAACGTACCATGGTCATACATAGAGGATGTTGGTGACAGGGGAAAGGGTGCAGTGTGTGTGGTAACTTTGTGCTGTCTTCTCAGTTTTTCTGTTCATCTAAAATTGTCCTTAAGTCTAATATAAAGACAAGATAAGATTGGAGGATCTACCCCTACTTGATTCCAATACTTATTACAAAAACGTGCTACAAAAAACTATGAAAAGTGTGGTATTGGTGTGGGAGATATACAGATAAATGGAACAGGACCGAGAATCCTAGGTAGACCCTCACTTCTCAGGCCGGTTAATTTTCTAACAAAGGTGATAAGATAGTTCAATTCAGAAAATACAGTCTTTGAACAAGTAGAGCTGTTATCTGTGATGACCAGACCCCCTGATTCCCCACTAAGACCAGTGGGGAATAAATTCCCTACCCTTGAAAAGGAAACCTCTTCTGAGCCCTCTGGTCCCAGCCCCTATTAAGGGTGGAAAGATAAAATTCTAAGAGGAGGCCTAGGGAAAAGGAAGTACCCAAGGAGGGGTCCCTTGGTGGAAGGTCCCCAGTTCTTTGGAAACTTTCTCAACTCATGTGCCCTCGCTGTGAACTTTGTGATTTCCTTGTAGGGGCTAAGTCAGCATGTACCCCCCACCCTGAGTTGTATACCCCCTTATGAGTTAATGTATATACCCCTGCCTTATGACCCTTGAGTTATGCTGAGTTGTTATGAGCTAATGCATGTACCCTTACCTTGTGACCCCGAGCTGTGTTGAGCCACAGTGATTTGGCTTTTGTACAAGCTTGTTTGCTTCAGCAAATTAACAGTATGTAAGTCCCTTGATTTGCCATTCGCGGCTGCTTGTTGGCCACAACAACAGCTCCCTGCAGGTGTATCAAATGATCAATAAATTCATATTGATTAATTGCATCAGAAGTGGGGTCCGACTTTCTCTCTCTGCTGAGTGAATTACAACATAATGCTTAACTCTCACATTACTCTCACATTACTTACTTTTCTCTAAACTTTTTTTTTTTTTTTGAGACAGAGTCTCATTTTGTCCCCTTGGGTAGAGTGCAGTGGCATCATAGCTCACAGCAACCCCAAACTCTTGGGCTCAAGTGATTCTCTTGCCTCAGCCTCCTAATTATTTAGGACTGCAGGTGCCTGCCACGATAGCCTGCTGGCTATTTTTTAGAAACCAGGTTTCACTCTTGCTCAGGCTGGTCTTGAACTCCTGAGCTCAAGCAATCCACCGGCCTCAGCCTCCCAGAGGGCTAGGATTACAGGGAGCCTCTGTGCCAGTCACTTCTCTCTAAACTTTCACTTCACTTCACTTATTCCTCCTACTGCACTTAACTTGAAATGGCCCACTGACCTTAACATAAGCAGTGAATGTACAAAACACCAAGGTGTGAAATGACGCAGGGTGTAGTGGCATCGACCGTGTTGCCAACAAAGTGGGTAGTGAGCAGGATGCTTGGTAGTTTTCATTTGCAGACAAATTGAATCCTCAAACTGTGTGAGACATGTGCCATTTACCTCATTTTATAGATAAGAAAACAGGTTCAGGGATGTTGCTTTTGCCCAAGGTTATTCAGCAAGCGTGGCAGACAGGTTATACAGCAAGGCGGGTCATATTCCCGTGGTCCATTTCTGCAGAGCTATCGCTGCACTGGACAGTTCTGAGTAAGTCTGGGCTCTCTGTGTGCTTTCTTCATTCCACCTGGGCCTTCTCCAACGCTAGAGGAGCCCATGTGACTCTCACACAAGTGTAACCCAGAAATGTGGAGGATTTTATGTTCTCAGGGCTGACCCTCAATCAATGAGGGAAAGGAGCTGGTGGACTAATGTCCCAGGATCCTCTCCTTCAGGCAATTTTCAGTGCTTTCTGTGTATATTCTTTTGAGAATGTGGAATCGAGTCCCTGTTGCCTGGAACACTGGCCTTAATTCTGCACCATGCTATTAACCCTTCTTTCCTGTGGGGTTTTTCCTGCTTCTAGGATCACTCCTCAATGAGCTAGTACCCAGGTCCTATTTCAGCCTCTGCTGCTCATTGGAACCAGGAGTGGCTCCAGACAGTAGAAACTCAGATGGGACTCTGGAGTTGGATTGTTCACTCGCTGCTCAGAGGGCAATGAAGGCTGTATAATAAGTGGATGGTGACAGCCTTTGGCAGACTGTACTGTTGTAATTACTAAGACTCTCACGTGTACTGGATTGGGAGGTACAGGTGAATAGAGAAGAGTTGGGTTATGTAGCAGCTCTGCATTTAACTGATAAGGGCAAAGGTATTGTCATATACTGAAAAATTGGCTGCTTTTTTGATAATTGCCTTAGAAGCCTGAAGAAAAACAAATGAAGATGTAGGCTCAGATTAACCAACTATTAACTCGGGGCATGCCAGAAAGTAAGACAGCTCCATGGCAATGTTTAAAGAGACCCTGACTCCTGAACTAGAGGGCAAACTGAATGAAAATAAAACTGATGCTTTAATCCTAAAGGTGACAGGGCTACAAAGGAATTACAGTTTTGACAGGTCACTTGTGCTCAAGGCAGAGCCATGAAAGGGAAGGTGTCCCTTGGACCTGGAATCGGGGTATTGCTGAAAGAACCTAGCGATTTGAACCTCTGGATTTCCCAGAACATTCCAGGCCAACAGAAGAGGCTCTCTCCCCCGAAGAGGCTTTGAAAACAGCTGCCGTTTGCAAAACCACTGATGCTTTGTAGTTAGTGCTTCCTTCTCAGGATCCCCATACCTCTCACTGCCTCCAAATAACTCAGATAAGCTCTTAGCAAACATACATAGTTGCAGCACAGAAATTCAACTTCTGTCTTGGGAGGAAACAGACTATTCACTGAAAGACTTGGGGGCCCTGGGTCATGTGTACTGGCATGATCCAGGGGAACCTGTGGAGTGGGGCTTGCGGGTGTTGGAGAGGGGGACATATAATGAGGAGGGAATTCATCAGTGTGGTGTATCCTCCTTAGAATCAGGATTTAATTTCCTGGCAAGAATATTGAGGAGTAACATGCTGTACCGTTCTTATTTGTCTTAATATTAAAATCCTACGTTGTTCACAAGAATGGCTCAAACATTAGACCAGATCTGTGCTTTTCAAGGATATAGAAAGTCCTCTATCCAACACCCCATGAGTAGTAATCTGTCTTTGTGGCATGGGGTTCACAAGGAACTGAGTCAAAGTAAAGATGACAGTTTAGGAAGAATGTATGCGCCAGTTATAATCTGCAAAGTCAAGTGCTTTGTTAAGACAGTCCAAACCCAGGCCCCTAATATGAGGATTATTATTGCATGTACGGTTTGGATATGTGCAAGGGATTGGAGTCTCTTTTTGTTTTTTTTTTTTTGAGATAGAGTCTCACTATGCTGCCCTTGGTAGAGTGCCGTGGTGTCACGGCTCACAGCAACCTCGAACTCTTGGGCTTAAGTGATTCTCTTGTCTCAGCTTCCCAAGTAGCTGGGACTATAGGCACCTGCCACAATGCCTAGCGATTTATTATTGCCGTTGTCCTTGTTGTTTAGCTGGCCCTGGCTGGGTTTGAACCCACCAGCCTTGGTTCATGTGGCCAGCACTGTAACCACTGTGCTACGGGCACTGAGCCTGAAGTCTCTTTTAAAGTGGTCCTTAGAAGAATGTCATTGCCTCGAGGCATTACTAGTTTGAGATGACCTGCTCTGTCATCAAAGTTGGAGACGAATATTTCTGTGATGAGGTCCAAAGGCTTCCTTTGATTTTCAATTGTTGTATTAGTAAAATTACAATTCAGTCAATATAATATCATCAGGATATTTTAAATAACTTTATTCTTAAATTTAACAAGCTCTTATTAGAAATGCTTTGGTATCAATACAATAAAAAATGCTGGTTTTTCCCCCCACTTAATCTTGTCAAGTAACTGGAAAAGTTAAGCATTTATTCTCCCTAGGTTTGTTTTTTTTTAATTATTCACAAATAATGACTGCTACTCGTTCATATGGCTTATTATGGGTATACTGTAATTATAAATTTTTGGATTTCAAAAATATAAACAAAAATATCCTGAAGAGAAATTGGCAGACGTTTGTTAGTTTCTCCTCCAGAGGACGTTTCCACAGGTGGTACGTCTCTCAGATCACCTTCTTCCCCAGCTTTGCCATTCTCATCCTTAAAGCTGAAAATTAAGGGGAAAAAAAAAACAGAGAGTTATAAAACGAAAGGCTCGATTTTTACTCGAAATGACCATTTCATAGAAGGCAGGAAAGTTTAGAACATACCTCAGATGGGTTTATCCAACAATGTGAGCATTGATTTAGTAGCACAAAAAGATAGTAGAAATAATAAGCTATGGTTAACTTAGGGCAGAAGCAGGTTCAGAACTAGAAGGAACCTATGTCTATAAAGATTAGAAAAATAAGTAAACATAGTACAAGTTGAATAAAGATAGGATTAGTGCACAATTTCGCCATAAGCCATTTATTCATATGCCTATAGGTTAACGACTGTGTTTTGTGTCTATTTCTGGGCTATGTAGCACTGAAAAAAGAAAAGGCGGGGGGTGGGCGGTTGACATAAACTCAAGTTCATGAACGTGTTTTCTTTTAGCGCATTAAGCTTAGTCGTCCAAAGAAGCTCTGGCCTTTCAATAGACAATGACAAAAGTAAATTTCTTTATGAATGAAACTCCATGAACCAGCAATTAGGAGGTGAGTGATTATAAAATATCTTTGTCAAAATATAAGTATGCTTTCACATAACAAATATATCTTTTTGGAGTCAATTCTACTTCTAACGATTGCTTCAAGAAAGCGTTTTAAAAAATGTAGATTTAGAATTTATAACACTCCTCTGGTATTCTGGTATCATGTCTTTAATGTTTAGGACGTCAGAACATAGCTGCATCAGTCATGTTCCAAAAGTTCAGAGATGCTGTCAAGGCACAGATCTAAGGATTACATTGGTGATCTAATCATACATTCATGTGTAATATGACCGGAGAATCAGCTGCTTAACTGTTTGCACAATTTTGTTTAGTGAAAAAATAAAATGGAAGACATATTCCCTCATTTCTACACCACATATTTTTTATCTATTAACAAAGGAAATTATACGATCTCTAAGAAGGCCATTTGTGCATATATGAAAGGGGATGGGTACCAATACTGTACCATGCCGTGATCATTTTTATTGTCACTCCGTTTACAAGAAATATTTTCATTTCAGTGACGTTAAAGAGGATTATTTCCCTGAAACTTTAAGAGGAATGATCATTTCTAGTGGTAGGGCCGAGACTATTTCCTTGATCTAGGATGGGCTAAGAGAATTTCCTTTGCTCTGTAGCAAACAGGATGGCCTCTATTGCTAGGAGCTGCTGGGGGTGGGAGTAGGGGTGAAACCCAAGGAAAGAAAGGCCGGGGTTTACATAACCACAGAAGGTAGAACTAAAGCTTTATAAAGTTTCTGCTGTTGGAATGTGTGGACCTCTTTTCTCCACCAAAAAAGGAGAGTAGGGGTGAAGGACGTACAGTCCCCTTTAAGGCAAGGGCAAAATCCTCTGCATTTACTGCGCCCCTGCGATTGCACAAATCAGGTGCGCCTTGTGTGCTGCGGACGTTCAGTGGAGTTTTCTGGAGTCTGCTTTCCTTTTATCAAGCCCATGGGAAGAGGATGGTGTGGATTCAGTTCCAGGGGAATGTGTGGGGCCAGAGCATACTGAAGGAAGGCCCCTCGTTTAGCAGCTAAAAACCCGGCCCATCAGCTTTCTTTGTGACTTTCTTTTCTGCTTTTTTCTGATCCCGTCTTCCTCTCCCCACAGCAATTTGGATACATGGCTTTGGCTGGCTGCACTTGGGGGACGAGAGGTCGTCTCACTGTCAGGAGGAGGAAGGGCCCTAATGGCTGCCACAGGTTGGGAATTTCAGCCTGACAGCACGTGAATTTTCTTTCTTTCTCTCTCTCTCTCTCTCTCTCTTTTTTTTTGACCAGGGTGGGTTTTGAACCTGCCACCTCTGGTATAGGGGGCCGGTACCCTACTCCCTGGAGCCACAGGCTCCGCCCTAGCATGTGAATTTTCCAGAGCTCAGGTTCCCCATTCCTTCATCCTGGAATGCCACTGGCATCTCCAAGAGGGCAGAACGGAGCCATAGGTGCCAGAATAGCTCAGTGAGGACTGCCGAAGAAAGCCCAGGTGGTGGGGGTAGGAGTGGACTCCGGCAAAGCCTGGTGGGGCCATGCAACGGGGAAGGATCTGGCATTGAGCTAAACCTTGTTAGAGTGACATTAGCAGATGTATAATGTTGTCTAACTTTTTCTGTCATGTTTTACCCTATTAAAAATCTTGATTAAACAAGCTGGTCTTCAGAATCTCTAGGCTCCACCTTTCTTCACCTTGCTTTATCCTTCAGTGCTTTTTCCACATTAAAAATTTCTTTTAGATAATTTACACCAGGGAACTAGAGACTAATAATTTTTGTCTCTTATGCCTACCAGGACTACTTATATTTCACGGAGGCCTATACCATAAATAAAGACATGGACTGAGATGGTACATTTTCATGTATTATTAACAGTTTGGGGGGTCATGCTCAATCTACTTGGTACTTATGAAATTGAAGTCCATGGGGGACTCTGTTTTCTATGTATACGATGGTCCCTGAGGGCTCATGATCTTATGACCTACTTATTTTTAAAACCCACTTACAAATAAAGAAAGATTCTGTAATCCATGTTCTGACTTGGAAAATAGGATTATAAAACAATATCATCATGGAAGGCAAGGAATTTGGAGCATTCTGTGTGTACGATATTTTGATTGATAGTACAGGACTTTGTATTGTTACTTTGTCTGGAATAGGTTTTCCTGTTTTCATTATTTTAGTTTGGTGGCATGGTTAGTGTTGTCTGGAAACATTAGTCACTTCCTGCCATTTTCCTTGGGGGCAAATGTGTGGACACAGTTAGGGGAGAAGCAGTTGGAGAGGAGCTGGCTAATATCCAAGTTCAAAAAAGGGAGGCATTCTAGAGGGTAATGTCACTGCTCCTGACCACAAACAGTGCGTTCTTCTTTTCTAAGTCTCCTGTGTTGTTTTAAAATGAATCTAAGATGCCAAGTTTGACAGGCAAACAAAGCTCAAAACAGAAAGAAACTTACTAACTGCAGGTTTCCATTGTGGGGACATCGTCATTCAGCTCGGACTGAGGAAGATATATAAGCTTCCAAGAGGTTAGGAATTCTTTTAGGTAGTTAAATTTATTACTGGTATGCCTAATTTAACTACTTAAAAGAATGAAAGAGGCTTCTTTTTGCTGTATTATCGGCAACCGAGGACTGGGCTTATGGGTTACAGGGGAAGAAACTTTCTTGAATTGTGCCGGTACCACCACACTCCGCAGAATTATCAAGGTACACTTGCTGGATTAGTTGGTATTTAATAGGTATATTTATTGCTTTTTAATAATAAGCTTCCATTAGAGACATTTAAAATATCCCTATCAAACACACAGAAACTGTAAGTCAGGGAAATCTGACTTACATCTTTAGCCAAGGTATGTACAGCTGTTATAACAGATTTTTTTTTGTGTTCTTATTTATCCTTTATAAATAATGACCAGAATGCAATGTTTAAGAGATAGCAAGAAATCTAAAATTGAGAACTGTCCCTTTTGTAGAAAAAAGTTTTGAAGTTGTTTTCCATTGAATGCTAAAATAGCTTGCTTGCTATAAAGCTATAAAAAACTTTACAAAGAATGAAAAATGCAAATACATAGAAAATAGAAAAAATAGACGTGCTAAGTTGGCAAAGACCAGGCAAAGTTAAACATTACGGAAGATGGAAGATATACTGATGTGTGTTTTAGCATGTAGAAAAGTTAGGAAAATAAAGTTAATACAACTCTCAAGGTCTAGTTTAGAAGATATAGCAAAGTAACAAAATGCCCTGAACATAAAAATTGTTTTTGTATTTTCTTGCAAAATTAAGGCGATTTATTAACTATGCAGGAAGTTTAAATCACAGCAAGGCACAGACAAGTAGTTGTCTTCAGATTCTGGTGGGAAGAGACACGTTCTTTGTAACCCAACATCTTGACCCAAATACCTTCACAGGCAGTACCATACTAGGACGGAGGGTGAAAGTCAAGGTATAAAGGTCAATCAATGCAATATCCAAGGGACGCAAAAACTTATTTCCAGCTTATCTCTTGAAGTGACTTAATCACTTTACTAAGTGGCAATAATAACTTCAGAGCAGCTTTAATTAGAAAACCTCAGTGCGTATGGGTTTATGGGATGGTCAAAGAAGCAGACAGCAAGAGGATTTGTTAGCACAGAGAGAAGACTGTCACATGACTAAGCAACAGCGGCATGCCTGGCCCTTTTTATTACCTGTTAAGGATGGATCCTCAGTGCCATCGCCCGCTGTCTGAACATCCAGTGGAGAGTGGCAGACAGGCCTCCCTAAACTGGCTTCTTGCTCTTTCAGCGATATGGAATTTTTGTGGGGAGATTTATGATTTGCGTTTTCATGGGGACTGACCTCCGACCTCTTCCTAGGAAGTGGTGTTGGTTTGGCCGGCTGGTAAACCTGACTGCAGGGAGCCACAGGGTGGTAGGACGGCTTCTCAGCGGCCCCTTGGCCTTCCTCCTCTTCGTCATCAATCACAACCAGCTCAGCGTGGATGATCCCGTCGTACCCCGTCAGGAGCTTCTTTTCCTCTTCATTGTCGTCGGCGTGCTGATAGCCCATGAAAATCATGGTCACGGGTTCTCTGTCATTTAGGTCAGGAGGCAGGGAGTGGACAATATTATATCTAATGTCTTCCTCTTCCTCCTGACAAGTGGGGGAAGGTCCCTGGCCCTGAGACTCTCCAGCTATTGTTTCCCTGGGTCTTGCCTTTGGAGAGGGTGTGTCTTCGTCCCGCGTGGCACGGGATTCTTCCCGAGGAGTCAGCCTCTTCTGTGGGTCGTGGGGCATCTCATCTGTCTGTTGAATCACTGATCGGGGATGAGGGATGGGCCGAATGGGACTGACGTGATTGAAGTCATTGCCCCTTTCCTCTGAAAGTCCGTTGTCCATACTGTGTGCGGATGCATTGACATCATTGCCCAGTCCGTTAGCTTTCATCTTCATCCTTTCTTGAAAGTTTGGTCCGGGGGTTAGCTTTTCTCTCTGTGGGGTTGTGGGCCTGCAAAATGGATTGGCATACACAGGCTCATGATACTCCGTGGGGGATTTAGAGTTTCTCTCTGAGGCTTGTCTTAAAAGTTCCTCGACCTCAACTGGGGCCAGGCCGTCGGTGCCATTGTACGCTGCGCTGTGATTAGCGCTTACTGCGTACACTGACTTTTGCCCGTCATCGTAAACTTTTACTCCTGTGCCTTTAAAGTCGTCTGATGGGAGAGGTATGGAAGACAGAACCGTACTTTCTCCAGTCTTCAAGTCTTTTTCAACTTTTATTTCCATGGCATACAAAGCTGTTAAGAAACAAATTTGTCTTGATTTAGTTAACTTTTTCTTTTATAAATGAGTTTGCTTTCAGTGTTTATATACACATATACATTTTTTTTCTTTTTTTTTTAAGAGACAGGGTCTTGTTGTGTTGCTCAAGCTGGAGTGCAGTGGCACTGTCATAGCTCACAGCAGCCCTGAACTCTTGGGCTCAAGTGATCCTCTTGCCTCAGTCTCCAGAGAAGCTGGGACAACAGGTACATGTCACCATGCCTGGCTAATTAAAAACAATTTTTTTTTTTTTTGTAGAGACAGCGCCTAAGTTGCCCAGGCTGGTCTCAAACTCCTTGGTTGAAGGGAGCCTCCCACCTCTACCTCTCAAGGTGCTTGGATTACAGGCATGAGCCCCTATGTCCAACCTATTTTTTTTTTTTACTAAGTATACCCTTTGATATTCTTTTTTTTTTGAGACAGAGCCTCAAGCTGTCACGCTGAGTAGGGTACCATGGCATCACAGCTCATAGCAACCTCCAACTCCTGGGCTCAAGCGAGTCTCCTGCCTCCGCCTCCCAAGTAGCTGGGATTACAGGCGTCTGCCACAATACCTGGCTATTTTTTGGTTGCAGCCGTCATTGTTGTTTGGGGTGGGCCTGGGCTGGATTCGAACCTGCTAGCTCAGGCATATGTGGCTGGCGCCTTAGCCGCTTGAGCCACAGGCGCTGAGCCTAGATATTCTTTTGTATGAGATATTGTCTATTTTTAAAGTTTCTGATTTTACTCGTTAATTGTATAATGACAAATGTAATAACATGGGTTTTTATGTAAAAGTATATAAAATTACTGAACAAATGGGAAGAATCAAAGACGAGAAGCTGATTGGAGAAAAACAGCCGATGGTTCCAAATAGTAAACATTTCCATTGGAAAACAAAAAGATATTTTCTTTCCCATCCATGAATCCAACAAGACAGATTTACTCTCTTTTGCATCACTCAGTGGGAGGAACGGGTCCTTCTCAGTTGGGGAGAACGTGTCGCTCTGTGCACGGCAGTAGGCAACGTGCCTCGTCCAATGTAATTTCTAAAGTTACATTCTTGTTGCACAGGTGACACCTGTTGAAATTACAGAGAAGTGTTCTAACTTTTTCACAGACAGGGAGGTTGTTTAAATGTACAACTGATACTGAAGAGGGACAGGCTTCTCTTTTTGCCTGATGTTTCTTTTCATTTTCAGTCTCAGTTTCAGGTGGAGGAAGAGTTAAAGGCCGGGCAGCAGCAGCTGTGCTGACGCAGCTGCTCTGGAGAAACCTGGGCAAGCTGAGATCTGCTTCCTGACCCGGGCAAGGGCCTCATGGCCGCAGCTCTAATTGGCAGGGAAAGCTAATTAGGATTCTGAGCTAATTTACAACATGGCGATGCTTGCTTTTGTTGCATCCACCTGCCTTCCTTTTTGAATATATCTTGTATTTCATACATCCTCTATAGCAGCGGTTCTCAAACCTGTGGGTCATGACCCACAGGAACTGTATTAAAGGGCTGCAGCATTAGGGAGGCTGAGCACCACTGCTCTATGGCCTGATGGTTCTCAGCTTTCCCTTGCTACCCAACTAAAACTTCAGCATCCCTCACTGGAGCTCCCCTGTCCAGCTTCTTTGCTTTATTCTCCCCATTTCACTCCCTAGCATGATATATTTAGTAACTACCTACCAGGTGCCTGTCTGAGGTTGGCACACAGTAGGTATTTGCTAAATATTAATATTTGTGGAAAGAATGAATGACTGCTGCCTGCCCATAAAGAGTGGCTTCTCCCTCCACCCCCAAATTCAGAAGTTTCCTCTCTGACCTTGTACAAACTTTCATTTTTTCCTTGAGTTTTCTGAAAATTAGCCTCCTATAGAGGTAAATAACACCTCCCTTTCCCATAAACAACATTTTCCTTTTCAAAAAGAATCTTAGTAACCTAAAAGAACGTCCATGGGATGGAATATGATGGGAGAGATATTTTTGAACAGGGGAGTCTTGTTTGAAGAGCCTCTTGTCTCCTGTGGGTCTTTATCTTCCCTGTTGCTGCCTGGTTTGCCAGGGGATACAGCGTATGTAAAATATCCTGTAACCTCAGTATCCCGACGCATGCCGGGGACTCGCCCACCTCATGGAACTTTGTGAAATGGACCATCAGTTAACCTGGAAGCAGAAGGTGTTGCAGCAAATTGTGTGAATTTGACCTCGTAAACTATCGAATCCAGAGCATGCCATATACCTTTTCTGTTTTGTTCATCATCTTCAATGTCTTCATTTCTTTCTTTCCTTAACCTGGAAGGTATGTAGGATTTTGGAAGGTCGGGGATATTGGCATAGATGTCCTCAATGGACTCTGTAAAATTAATGTCAGTTCGAAATACATTTAGAATATTTCCCCAATACTGAGAAAAACTTTAAATGATCCAAAACTTTATCTTAGGCACAAAGCAGGCTGCTGACAAACATACCTTCTGGCGTTTCTTCCTTCTCCTCCTTCACAGACTATAAGAAAAAAGGATTCCCCATGATTAATAGAGTTTAAACAAATAAAATCTAAATGCAGATATACTCGGAGGACTTATTTAGTGTTTGTGACTCATTTTGAGAGGGAATTATGGTTTTCAAATTGGTCAGTGCTCACCCGTATTATGTCTTCGGTTGTCCTCTCAATTGATTTGAGTTTCTTTAAGATTGCCTCCTCATTCCTTGAGATTTGAAGCTCAGCCTTTTCAAGATCTTGGATCTCTTTTTCAAGCCTGGCAACAAAACGACACACTTTTTTATAGCTTAGCATGGTACAAGTGCAGGGTTCTCAGCCTTAGAACACTGCATGCTGCCTTTTAAGTATGCAAGGTCACACTTAGCATCAGGCTTAGTATTATATAGAAGTTACCTAAACCCTGACTTCAAACAATCTTTTTTTTTTGGACAAAGAGATTTCTTAGGTAAAGTATTTGACCTACGCTCCATTTTCTTCATTGCATTGACTTGTTATTTACAAACAAAATAAAAAGATTTTTTAAATAATGAGACTTGTTGAACCAAAGGGAACGGTACCTTTGCAGTTATTTTGTAGTTTACTGATTGGTTCTTACCCAAATCTCCTTATAAATTGGAGAAAATATTACAATTATTAAAGTTGATTTACTAATGGCAGCTAATTAATACTTTAAACTCTCGCATATCCCAACCCTGAGAATGACACTTTGTTTTAATTTCAGTTTCCAAAGGGTTGAGCTGTGTTGCAGTGAGTAGGGTGAGGAGCTGGGGAAATGGACAAACCCTGGCACCGTGGCTTCAGCTGTTGCTCTTTATAGAGACGACATTTTCTGGGGGGGAGGGGGAAACAGTGCCCACGTGGCCTGACAAAGCATAAGCGAATGGACAGGGACAGAGACAGACATTTGAAATTGGATTGTTGCAAACATTCTGGGCTGTGTTGTGACCAGCATACAGCTGCATGTCAGATTTAAGTGAACTCCAGGGGGTAGCGTCCCGGGGACTTCTACTCTGTATAGAAACAAACAGCCACTGGCAACCGCGCAGTTAGTGAGACTGGCCCTTGGCAGCCAGGAGGCACACAGTTTCTCAGCCCAGTATGCTAAGCTCTAGTCAGCTGCCTCAGAGGACGGCTGATTAGGTACAGCAGCTGGTCCCAGAGATGACAGCTGCGGATATTTCTGTCAGCTAAGATAACTGTCAGTTTTCTTGGCTTCCTTCTTAAAGATGGTCACAGGCCCTGCAGCATGAAAATCCTGTGCTATTGTCATACCAATGAAAGCCCCAAAGATGTTCTATTCCACCATCTCCTGCTCACTGCTCCAAGTCCTGACTCTGCTGCTGCCTCAGGCTGCAGTTCCCGCAGATCCCAGAACTCCAAGTGGAATGCGGTGCCCTCTGGCTTCTGAGGTGTGACTGCCATCTATGAAAATCTCTCCACCTCTGCGTAGCACTTTTGCCCATCAGCAGAGCTGTGGGGATATTTGTTTGTGCAGTTTGTTAGAATGGAAAGCGCTGCCTCAAAGTTAGAGGTCTGGATTCTATCCTGTTTCTGCTACTTAGGACTTTTGATCCCCTTAACCTCCCCAAAACTCTGTTTCGTAATGTGTATAAGGAGAATAATAGCACCCGTGTTAGGCCAGGTGCAATCGCTCATGCCTGTAATCCCAGCACTCTGGGAGGCCAAGAAGGTTGGATCACCTGAGCTCAGAAGTTCAAGACCAGCCTGAGCAAGAGTGAGATCCTGTCTCTACTAAATACAGAAAAACTAGCCAGGTGTTGTGGTGGACACCTGTAGTCCTAGTTACTCTAGAGCAGTGGTTCTCAACCTTCCTAATGCCGTGGCTCTTTAATACAGGTCCTGTGGGTCATGACCCACAGGTTGAGAACCACAGCTCTAGAGGCCGAGGCAAGAGGATTGCTCAAGCTCAAAGAGTTTGAGATTTCTGTGAGCTATGATGCCATAGCACTCTATCCAGGGTGACAGAGTGAGACTCTGTCTCAAAAAAAAAAGTAAAAAACAACCTGCCTTACCTTATATAGATATTTTGTAAGCTAAGAAGAGATGATGTATATGAATGCTCATTGAATATGGTTGATATCAGATGTAAGTTTATTATGATAAAATTCTTAAAGGTTTTCTGCAACATACTGTGCCTTCTCCTATTACTCCCTGTCCCACAGGGTTTTTTTTCCTGATATGCACATATTAATATATATATACTTATACATACACATATACATAGTTATATATCTGCACAATAAACAAACTTGTATATATATACATGCATGTACACATGAAGAAAAATATTTTCCATGAGAAAAGCTGGATAAGGGCTATAAATAGCAGGATCAGGAAGACAGAGATTACCCAGGGAGGCGCAAGTTTTACACGGTGTGGTTAGGGAGGGTCTGTCTGATAAAGTGTCATTTGAACAGGGCATGAAGGCCATGAAGGCAGGATATGTGGAAGTTTCAAGGCGAATGATCCAGAGAGTGGGGAGAGTAATGACACAGCTGGCAGTAAGAGCAGAGAGGGTGAGGGGGTGAGCGGTAAGAAATGAAGCCAGAGAGGAGTCAGGCGGCCAGAGTACATAGGGCCTCATGCATGGCAAGGCCTTTGGGAAGCTATTGCAGTTTGGAGCAGAGAAGCAACCAGTTTTGACTCGGAATTCAAACAATTACATTGGCTTCTGTGTTGAGAATGAGCTAGATGGGGCAAACATGGAGGTCGGTTGTCCTAATAATGCTGATGGCTTAGTGCCAGTTGGTTGCTGGTGGAAGGGTGAGGAGTGCTTGCATTCTGGAAACATGTAAGAGGAAGAGTTGCCAGGATTTCTTTTGTGGATTGCTTGTGGGGTGTGAGAGAGAGCGAGAGATGTCCAGGGTGATTCCAGTGTTTTTGACCTAAATAATTGGAAACATGTGAGTGCAATCAGCTGCACAGAAATTTGGGAGAGAGAAGAAAGGAGATTTGCATGGGATGAGTTAAATTTGAGACAATCAAGTGTGATACAGAGAAGACAGAGATAAAAGTCTGAAGCTTAAAGAAGTCTGGGCTTGAAGATCTACATTTGGCATTTATAGCTATAGGAGTAGATAAGATTTCTTAGAAAGTAAGGGAGAAAAAAATTCCAAGGACTGAACTTTGGGCAATTGGAAATTTAGGGGTCTGGTCAATGCCCAGAGATTCACAGGGTGAAGTTAAGCTCACAGTGAGAGCTCAGTAGATGCTGGTTTCTTCCTGCCTCTGTCCTTTCTGTCACGAGAATATCAAAATGCACTGGTATCTGGAGTTGCGTCCCTCTGCAGAACAGGCCATGGGTAATGTAATGCCATATGATTCTCATGACTGTCTTTAGATTCAGATGGCAAGATTCTGAAGTTGAAAGCCTGTAAACCCATCAAAGGTTTACCATCTGCTAATGAATGTTTTTGAAGGTTTTCAAGTCACTGACATTAATATGAGGCTGTATACTTATGACACATCACGACATGTTTGTGCAAATAAAACATAATCAAACACCTCCCTTCCATATTTTATCACTTAGTTACAGCGAACTCCCAGGTAAAAATAATAACAAGGAAACATCTTGCTACTAATTACATAGATCACAGACCTCTGCCCAGAGATGCTTCCCGATACAGAACATTTCTTAAAAGTTCCACTTCAATGCAAAACTGCATTTCTTGTTTTTGTCATTGATCTGATGCTTCTGTCTATTATTTACAGACAATATAAATATTATTGAGAGATAAATGTTGGAGACTTGTTCTTCCAGGAAAGGTTTCTAAAAGGTCAGAATGCCAGTGGAAGTAGTGAGAGACCTAGAAAATAATAACTGAGAGTAAGGGACTGGAGGCTCTCAAGTCCCCCAACCCCAATCACTCGGTCAGAACTCAGAGGTGCCCAAAAATGGAAGAGGAGGAGGTCTGAAGACCTCACACCAGATAATGCACTCAGTTTTCAAGGACTGATTGTTTCTTAAGGAGCATAAAACACAAATTGCAATTACCCAAGGCTGGGTAATCTTTGTATTTCTAGCACAGTGGTTCTCAACCCGGGGTGACTTTTCTCCTTGGGGACATGTGGCACAGTTTGGAGACCTTTTTGGTTGTCAGAACTTGGAGGGTACTGCCAGCATCTAGTGGATACAGGCCATCTGCTCAACGTGCTGCCACGCACAGAACGATCCCTTCCCAACAAAGAATTATCTCATCCACAGTGTGCTTTGGTTCAGAAACCCTGGGCATCTAAACCCTCTAGCTTTACAGTGGATTTCTTCACACCCATCTCTCTGACAGTTTTACTTCTTTCTTCTTGTTTGTTTCCATCATTACCCCCATATGCACGCACATCTATCTTTTGTGCCTTGTTCAGTGGTCATTCATAGTTAAGAGACTACTCAGCCCCAACTTAAGGCTCCAGCAATGCAAGGCTGACATTAGAGACTCATGCCCAATCCCTTCCCCCCAAATTTAGTAAGTATAAATGAAGCATGAGGGGAAATACTATATATGTAAATACAGATGCATATATGTATGTATATCCAAATATATACACATATGTATGTGTGTAATGTGCACATATATGTAAAATTAAATTTTTTATACAAAAATCTTTTGGGGAGGACGCTGTAGGATGACTTTCTAAACTTCATGGGCTCATCTTGATGAGCAGTTGATGGCTTAAAAATTCCATAAGTGCTGCCGTCCACATCTTTGGGAGGTATTGCCTTTCAGAACGGGAATTGAGCTCCTTGAAATGCTGATGCAGTTTGGCCAGAAACCTGGAGCAGAGAAAGAGAAATATCCCTCTCGGTGCCTCCCAGGCTGTTAGGCGGGGCCTGATGGATGAGTCAGTACCTCTCACAATTTCTGAGAGAGGTGGTGGGCAGGCATCATGGGCTGATTTAGATAAGCAGAGTACACGAGAAAGGATTTGTAATGCTATCCGTTATGGAATCTTTCTTCTCCTTACCTGTTTTCTGGGGGAAAAAGAGGGTTATTTTCCAGAGCTCCCTGGGTGAAAGCAGGTAGCTTTCATTTTGGGCACTGTTGTCGTAATAACCTCCCTTAATCATCACGAGATAATGTCCCCAGCCCAATTCCAACATGCAATTTTTTGTCCTGGAAAAAAGGCCAGCACAGAAATGCTGGATGTGTCAAGAAGTTATTTCAGAAGGCAATTTCTTCTGCAGCTAAAGGTCCATTTATCTCTCTCGGTTTTTGGTGGAGTTAACAAGGACTAACAACC